GACACTCTTGTAGGACACTCTTGTGGGACACTCCTGTAGGACACTCTTGTGGGACACTCTTAAGGGACACTGTTGCGGGACACTCCTGTGGGACACTCTTGTGGGATACTCTTGTAGGAAACTCTTGTGGGATACTCTTGTAGGAGACTCTTGTGGGACACGCTTGTAGGACAGTCTTGTGGGACACTCTTGTAGGGCACACTCTTCGTACGAGACTTCCTCCAAAAGTCACCCTGCGAGGCTGCAAGACGAGCGTTTCGTATGAGACTTCCTCCAAAAGTCACGCGTCAAGTCTCAAAAACGAGCACTTCGTACGAGACTTCCTCCAAAAGTCACACGTCAAGTCTCCAAAACGAGCGTTTCGTACGAGACGTCCTCAAAATGTCACGCGTCAAGTCTCCAAAACGAGCGTTTCGTACGAGACGTCCTCAAAAACTCACACGTCAAAGTCTGCAAAACGAGCGTTTCGTACGAGGCTTCCTCCAGCGGAAACACCCATCGGAGCACACACATCACGCAGCCCTGCCAAGCAGTTTCGCGATTCCAGCCCCTCCAAACAACATCCGCTCACACGCCAATCCCAATGTGACAGCGACATTCACCTCTACCACAACTCACAACCTCACGATTCCCTGCACCTGCCACGAATCTTGCCGCGTCCACACATCTAACGCGTACAAAGTACTGCGCCTGCCACGAAATGTCACCTCCGTCACACCTCGCAACCTCACGATTCCCTGCGCCTGCCACGAGAATCGCACTTCCACGCCTCAAAACCCGCACAAAGTCCTGCGCCTGCCACGAAAAGTGACAATATGTGACAATATCATCTCATGTGAGCTTCAACAAAATTTGCACCACACCACACGTTTGGAATGATTTCGACCCGTTCTGAGCACACTCCCATCCACCAAAATCGCCATTTCAGCTGAGACTTGTCACGAAAACCGAGCTTCCATGCCACACCCTGAAACGCAAATCCCAATGGCACGGCCACATCCAACACCCCGAAAACACGACTCTCCAAACGCTAATCCCAATGGAACTGCGCAGCAATCTGCGGATCAATGCATCACGTTTCTTGCGCGACATGTCATTGTCATGCAAATCCACGTGACACATCCATGCAAAGTCACTTGCAAAAGCTTCCCCCAATGGCAGCGAATTCCAGACGCAACGACGACGACAAACGACGACAAACGACGAGAGACGACGACAGACGACGACAGACGACGACAGACGACGAGACGACGCAAGCCAAGCAAACACAGCTCCAACCCCCAGACCCCCAACTATAAACGGGAACCCTTCGCTACGCATTCGGGAAAAAGAGAGAATAACAAAAGCATCTATACAAAGAAAGATGGTCTCAAAGCAAAAGACACGCTTGGTCCAAGGATTTTGGGGGTGTCGAGGGGCCTGGACCCAGTGCTCCATCAGGTCAATGCCTGTGAGTCGACAACACAGTGGTCGTGGGTTTGGAGCTCATTCTTGCCAGTGAAGACGAGATCCGGTGACAGAGATTGCTCATGCACCAAAGAAACGGCTACTAGGAGCAAGAAGCTACTAGGGGCTCCTGGCATCGCTACTAGGAGCAAGAAGCTACTAGGGGCTCCTGGCATCGCTGCTAGGAGCAAGGACGCTACTAGGGGCTCCTGGCCTTACTACTAGGAACAAGAAGCTATTAGCTTATTGTTTCTACTAGCTTCTTGTCACTACTAGCAAGGCACTTGTTACTACTAGCGATGCACTTGTTACTACTAGGAACAAGAAGCTACTAGGAGCTTTTTCAACATTAAGATTCAACCATGCAGTGGGCGCTGTGAACCCAACCTTTGGCTGCGCGTACCAAGCACAAGGGCTTCCAGGGTCGAGGCCATAAATCAGTGTTCACCAAATCTAAAATCTAAACCTTTAGCTTTTCTAGCCTGGATCACTTTGCCAAAGCTAAACTCGAAGGCCTTGCAAATGCTGCGGCAGCAAGACAACCAACGGATAAGGCACGGGAAGTGCGTCAAGTGTGCAATTCTGTGTTTTGGCACTGTCAACCCCTATCAAGATTTAGTGCCAGGATTGTCGCGAATTCCTTTACAGCCTCCAGCTTGCTAATGGCAGAACTTAATGAATGAACTTTCCATTGGTGAAAGCATGGCAACGCCGGTTTCCAGTTTTACGAAGGCCCGTGCAATAAATTGAATGTATTTAGGAAGGACGGAAGGATGCACTCCAAACGTGTTCGATTTGCGCCTGCTAAGGGATGCCCTACTGGAATCCCAGTAGAGCAAACGGGAAGGACTCTAGAAACTGTCAAGGCTTTTGAAGCCTACCTGGCTTAATTAATGGGTTTGCGTGGGAAGAGCCAAGCTTGTGAAGGGGATGCAGTTCATTGCACATGTGCAGGCTCACTGCTACTTTGTGCATTCTTGCTGTGCCTATCTGGCCCAGAAAGATAGATCCTTGCGATTCATCGCAGCTGCAGTCTGCAATATAAAGCTCCGCGCAAGACTTCAATGGCTTTGCAGTAGTGTTGAACCCGCTTTCAATTTGGCTGACGAAGAAAGAGGCACCGGCAATTAGCAGATATAAACGAATGTTGACAACCTCAGCTGGATAAGCAGTCACCAGAACCACTTGTGCCTTGAACGCTCTCATTGGCAAGGAGTGAGCCACAAGTGCCTATTGGTGCTCCTTGAGGTCCGCTGTCTCAGCTGCTGCGAACCTATACCATGCTGCAAATTATTCTCAGCTGCTGCGAACCTAACCATGCTGCTAATTATCAAATATTTTGTGTTGATGAGAGCGGACCTTCCTGAACCAAACCACTTAAAAACCCACCCTGCAAAAGCTAACCTGCCTGCTGAGTTTGCATGCACTGTGAGCGGCCGCTCACGCCATGGCATGGTGCAAGCCGGCCCTGGGTTTGAGTGTGCTACTGCCACCAGCTTGGGCCTACTACCAGACAACTGCCCAGTGACTTGGGGCCATTATGGAGTGCGACCTCCAACCCAATCGCTAGTAGGTTGGAGGCCATTCCTATTAGGTTGGAGGCCATCGCTATTAGGGTGGAGGCCATCGCTACTAGGACTTACCCTAAAGGCAATGGATCCACCCTACTAGCATGCATATAGTCGAGTAGTGGTCCAGGGACGGCTTTTTGGCGATGCCTGGCCTTTAGAGCGCTAAGGAATTGCCGGCGGATAGACCACATCTATGCATCTGGTCAGGACACGTTTGCTGGTTTGTTTGCACAAATTCTGCCAGCCGATGACGACGTGGCAGAACCTGCCATGTGTGAGCACGCCAACCGATGTCTTGGTGAGAAGGTAATATCAACTCGGTATACGAAGGCCAATCGCCCGCCGCAAGGAGCTATGTGAGAAGATGTGGGGCACGGCCTTCCGGTACGAGCCGAATGACGGCCTCAGGGGTGAGATGGGAGGTGTGATTGAACAGGTTCGTGAGCACAATTGTCCACACACCGCAAGTAGGCATTTAAATCTCTGGATGTTGAACTGGTTAAGTTCAACGGGGTTTCATACCACAGAAACATATCAGCAGTGTTTCCGCAAAACGTTTATGGAACACTCGGGCCTGAAAGCACTGCTTTTTGCTTAATCCAGTTTGCCGTGAGATTGATATGGGAAGTGGCATGATGTCATTTTGAGCATAAGCAAGCTATTCAAGTGACATTGGGGTCGGTCCTTATGGAATTCTATGGGGGCTTTGTTTCGTTCGAAAGCATGGCTGTGGGCTCTCTGCTGCGTCCCAGGAGACTCACGGCTACACCATGTGGTTCTTCGATTCTGAGAACCCCAACGACCTGACCTCGGCAGAGTTGGGACGGAGCAAGGCTGAGTTCTGTCACCTTCATCAGCACAAGGACCAGAATGACATGTTCTCATTTTGTATCATTTTGTTAAAGCAAAAGAGCTCTTAACGCGTTCTTGGGCGTTCTTCTTGAAGCGCCAAGAAGCATGTTCTTGCTTTTGGCATCTTTCAAGGCACCCATATGTGGTGGCCACATCATTGCGACTATAGCAATGAGGGTATCTAGTGAGGGGTAGTGATGTCTAAGATGTTACGGCCAGAGTTCTTGATGCTTGTGGTAACGCCAGGAGCTCCTAGTAACGTCCTTGCTCCTAGTAGCGATGCTCTTTGTTACTAGTACCGTCCCTTGTTACTAGTCGTAAGGCCAGGAGCTCCTAATAGCATTCTTGCTCCTAGTAGCGATGCCAGAAGCCCCTAGTAGCTTCTTGTTCCTAGTGATAATGCCAGGAGCTACTAGTAGCGTCCTTGCTCCTGTGGTTTGTGAGGATGAACCCGGGCCAGAGCCTACGATGGTTTCCTGGCAGTGCCGAAGCAACCCCAACCCGACTAGACAGACATGCAATCAGCAGTCCCTCTCTCGATGAATAGCGGTGACACCGCGCAACGTAGAATGCTAGGAGCAAGAACGCTACTAGGGGCTCCTGGCAGCGCTACTAGGAGCAAGGACGCTACTAGGGGCTCCTGGCCGTACTACAAGGAGCAAGTAGCTACTAGGAGCAAGGAATAGCGATGAAACATCGATGAATAGCTCTTGTAGCGGTTGTCCCATCATGTCCCATCAGCTGAAGTCTCATGGCAGACTGACTCAAGCACCAGCGACTAGAGATGGCCTCCAACCTAATAGCGTCATCACAAAATGTCATGTTGTTTGCGATTTTTGCCGAGGTGTCAGAATGTCACCCATGGAGATTCAACTCCTGCTGTCGCCGGGAGATGGCAGCTGGGCGGGACCGTTAAGGCTCTAATTTGCAAATTCGATTTGTGTTCCACGTTTGGTCGAAAACGTTCAATACTCACGCTGGTCCTTCATAATTGAGAAGTGGCAGTAAAGCAGTGGAAGAATGAACCTTCTTGTCCCAGAGCATTGTAGTAAACACACGGCTCCCCTAGGCAGGTTTGTTGAATGGGTTTGTTCTACGGAAGGCTTGACATCCAAGAGCTGAGGGAAAGGCCTGCGAATTTTTGTTTGTGCGAGTGATTATCATCAATTGTCGACCTGGTGAATGTTCATGTCCTCGTGCCATTGGCTCTCCCTATGAGTCTCAGGTATCATCACTGGATGCTTTGAAGGCAAGCTTTGGAGACTCTTGGCAGTAGCATCCATGCGAGCCTCGCAGCAGAGTTCAGATTGCATTTGAAATGACATGTCATATCATTTCAGACTTTCCTGGAGAGTTCAGAGTGGCTCAAGCCGGCCAGCCTTGTAGATTGCAGAAGGGAGTGGAAGCAGCGCAGCATGGCTTTCAAAGTTGCCACATGCGCTCGAAGAGCCCTTGGCCGAGTGGGGCTCACCACAGCAGGGAGCTTCCCACGTGGATTCGCACCACAGCTGTATGGTCATAGTGTCAGAAGATTCTCTCGAAATAGCTGGGAGTCTGGTGACGATGTGGACCTGGACAGTGTGGCGTACGGCTTCATGGCATCTCAGGCTCTCTTCACTGGTCTAGAGGTTGGAGTCTTCGACAAGATAGCAGCTGCTGGAGAGAAGGGTTGTTCGGCCCAAGTTTTGCAAACAGAGTGTGGAGTAGAGGGTCCACGCATGACCACACTCCTCACAGCACTCACGGCTGTGAAGTGCATCCGCCGCGGGGCTGATGGTTCGTACACTTTGTCCCCAAACACGGCCAAGTTCATGGTCACCAGCTCCAAGCAATACTATGGAGACTATTTGCTGTACCAAATTGGCCGGCAGTTCTACCACCGGATGGGAGCACTTCCAGAAGTCATGAGGACCGGAAAGGCTCCAAGCTATGCGTCATGGTTTTCTGACCCGGAGGTGGCAAAGACCTACACGCAAGCTCAGCACAATGGATCAGTGGCAACGGCCAAGTACTTGGTGAAGAAGAAGCTGCAACTTGGAGGAATTGAGTCCATGCTTGATGTCGGAGGTGGCTCAGGAGCTTTCTCTTATGTCTTCACAGAGGCCACGCCCGGCCTCAAGTCCACCGTCTTGGAGTTGCCAGAGGTGTGCCGAACAGGGGAAAGCATCAAAACGCAGCAGTCGCAGGACATCCAAGACAGAGTGAACTTTGTGGAGCTGGATGCGACAAGTCCAGACTGGCCAGTCAGCAACGCCAGCTTTGACATCGTGCTCATGTCCTACATCAGTGGCTCTGTTCCCGAGAGCGTTATCCTGCCACTCTACAAGAATGCATTCAAGGCCTTGCGTCCCGGTGGTCGCCTCCTTGTTCATGACTTCATGGTCAATGACAGCTTGGATGGCCCGGCGCTAGGAGCGCTTTGGGGCCTTCAACATGTGACCGTGAACGCACATGGACTTGGGCTGTGCCCAGCCGAGATCATCCAGCGCATGGGTCAAGCCGGCTTTGAGCAGGAGAAGTGTGAGGCACATGAGATGATTCAAGGCATGACCAAGCTGATCGTCGCACACAAGTCTGCGTGACTATGAGGGACAAGATGGGACAAGTGGCCACTCGATCACTCAAGTTCTGTGCCAATCGAGCACATAATCCTGGATCCAATTTTACTCAAAAGGAAAAAGAGCGCAGTTGGCCGACAGAGTGTACCATGCTGTCAAGGCTAGTCAAGTCAGACTTGCTGAGATCATTTGCATTCATGTCATCAATTCATGACTCACATGACATGACATGAAAGAGCGTGACTGTCAATGTTTCATGTTTCAAGGCGTTTCAATGCGACAGAGATGTTTCGCAGTTCATGTTTCGATTCAAATGCGACTGTCAATGCTCTTTCATACTTGACTCACGCGTTGTTTGAGTGAAAGAGCACATGAAACGCATTGGAACGCAGCACCTGCAGCATGAAACGCAGCTAAGAATCTATTCCATTGGGATCGGTGCGGCCCACTGTCGCAAGAGTGCGAGCGCTTCTTCGTTCAAGAGGCATCTGGTGAACTGGAGCAAGTGACCTTCGATGTTGTCCTGTGTTTGTTGTCTTCGACATGGCACGACTGTCGCATGTTTCCAAGCACGGCTCCCGCTTGTTTTTCATGTTCCTAAGTCCATACTTGCAGCTGTGCCATGTTCCAAGGCGTGTTTTTATGAGTCTTCTCAGCAGCTAGCGTCAAGTTGAGAACATTCAAAGTGAAAGCGGAAACGTTCAAGCTGTTGCGGACTTTTAGGGCATGGCGTGCGAAGCCTACCAATACGAAAACTCTATGCTGATATATGCTGATAGAATGATAGCACCTAGTTGCTTGTCCTTTTTTTTATGCTCGCAGCGGTTGATGGAGGAAGGCAGGCCTTGTGAGTCACAGTTGTGCACACAGATTCCAAAAACTAACAATGAAAACCAAGGACGGCTTTAACAACGACACACTTGTTTCGTTTGGACATTCATGAGCACCAGACACCAAGCGGAGACGATCCGCTTGAGCGTGAAACCTGAGGAATGTGATCCCAATGTGGCTTTCTATCGCAGCCTTGGCTGGGAAGTGGCTGTGACAGGTTTGAACAGGTGCGAATTGGTGTGAACTGTGCGTGGTTTTGAAGAATGAGGAGCCATGCATGACGAGCGTAGCTTATTTCATGTCTTGGGTTCCATCCAGATGTTTTTGGCGTGACATGTCCATATTGCACTTGGCAAGGAACGCCGAGTCGGACGTCCCATATTGCATTTTGTGCTCCAATCCTTCAAGGTTTTGTTTACTCAGCCCTTTTTCAAGTCCTCTTGAACTCTTTTCACGCGCAAAGCTTCACGAGGTAAATACAACTCCAGCTTTTATGATCCTCGCTGTGATGCCCAAAGTGGCCACTACAATGCAATGTACGCTGCCAGTAAACTATGCAGCTTGGTGCTGCCTGTCCGAGTGTTCACAGTCAGTGGTGGAAGATCTCGAGATGCTAGAGATCTTGGAAAATTCTTGTGAGTAACAAAGGGCATCGCTACTAGGACCAAGGACGCTACTAGGGGCTCCTGGCATCGCTACTAAGAGCATTTACTACTAGTAACAAGAAGCTACTAGTAACAAGATTGAAATCTGTGCATCACCTGACATGTTTGAGGTGTTTTTTAGACCACCGTCATAGGCCACCCCGTCTTCCCATGGCCTTCAGGCCATGGGGCGCCAAAGTCATTTGTCACCTCGTGTCACCACACTAGAAGAAGAGCAAGAGAGTGAGCAAGAGTTCCATGTTCGCGCGTGTTCAAACCTGGCTGAGGTAGTCATAACACCTGGGAGCTGCATCAAATGCCGATCAAGGCCTCATATTGTGCACAGCCCAGCAGAATGTGGGCAACTAGAAGCGATGGCCTCCAACCTAAGAGCTTCTTGCTCCTAGTAGCGATGCCCTTTGCTCCTAGAAGCGATGGCCTCCAAACTAATAGCATTGGCCTCCAGATTCCTTTGCCACACTGTGCCTGAGAACGCTAAGGCGATGCCTGGTTTGCCGCGTGCCAGGCTGATCATTTCTGCACAGGATTCGATGGAGACTTCTTTTCTTGTGCAGGACAGGAAGGTTTTGAAAGCTCTTGGAAAGTCATCTCGGATTGAATGGATCAAGTTGAAAACTGTTGCGCCATGTTGAGTCTATATTATAGATTCTTTCTTTTTATATCTTTATATATTATAGATTATAAACTGACTAGCCATGACCAGCAGGACTATCAAAGAACGTCGACAAAGAGGCCCAAATCATGAACCAGACCTGGGGGGCAGTTTCTCGAGGCGAGTGTGGGCGATCGATTCCGATCGATCGAGGACGATCGATCGAGGGTGATTGGGACAGCATAGTCTGAAAGAGCTCCCAGAGCAACCCAGTAGCAAAAGGAACCTACTAGCGATGGCCTCCACCCTACTAGCCATGGCGTCCAACCTAATAGCCATGGT